TTTTGCTCTAGTCTACTAAGGTCCTATTCCAAGCGAACAGCACACTGATCAGCACACTGAAAATTGCTTTCTTCAAAGACGGAGATCATCATCCCAGCCACGGCAAAACGTGCCCAGGGCTGGACAAAATGCCCGCTACACGCACTCTCGGCAGGCGCCCTGACGCCAGCCTGGCGCTCCAACACCGTCCCTTTCCCTCTGGCCAGGAACTGGGTTGTCCAATTCTCCCTATCCCACGCAGAAGGCAAGACTGTTCAATCCAACTGGGAATCAAATGCCCTTTCATAATATTTGTTTACACATGAAAAAAAAACAAACAGCCAAGCTAAAGAACAGCGATTCTTCATGGAGCGCAGCCTACCAGGGCAGGCAGAATCTGCCTTCCGATTTGAGAGCCTTTCTGTTTCAGCTCCCAGTGGCTTGGAGTTCAAAGTCACCCCCACATTGGATTTGGTTTTGAATGAATCTATTTCATGCACAGAAATAAAAAAGTGTATCAGATATAATTTTGAATGACCACAAAATTTGATTTTATTATTTTTCAAATTTCTGCCTTCAGACCAGCTCCTGGAGGCTGGAGAACTGCCAATATTTCAAAGAGATTTTGTCATAAAAATCAAGCAAAAATAGTTTTAATAAGAGAGAATCATCTGGGCAGAGGAGGATGGAAAGTTTGTCTAAGACCCTAAGGCTGAGATGAAGCAAATGGAAGGAAAAGGCAGTGGCTTTCAAGGCCAGCCTTTATTTTGCTTACGAGTATTTAATATAGCCGCATTGCCACTATTCTCGATCATCTTTAGATCAGTGGGAGCAGTTACCATTAATAATAAATCAATATTGTACCATAAAGGAGATGAATATCCACGTTTCTACCAAAACATCCTTCTCCCTGGCACAGCTCTTTCCGAAGAAAAATGAAAAGGGTCGCTTTGTCAAGAAATTAGCATTTGCAATCAAGAAATGGTTTGCATCTGTGCTTTCTTGTCACTGGGAAGAAGAGCAGGGGCCTTGGGCCTGAGTGAACTTGGGGGCCTCTAGGTTTGCCCTGAAGTTTGGGCCCTGTGTGGCCTCAGGGCTGGGCCACCCTTAGGGGTACAGAGTGGATGGAGACAAATTTAAAAGGCTGCTTCCTCAAGGCGCCCCTCGGGGCTGTGCTGTGCACCTCCCAACCAATGTGAACAGAAATCAGGGCAGCAAATGGGGAGACTGGGGAAGCCACCACCAACCGAATGAGGGGTCTACGAAAACAGGTAAAAGGGCCTGGGCCAGGGAGCCACTCTCCCTTGCAGACACAAAAGATTCCTTATTTAGCGCATTTCCCCTCCACTTCAAGATCTGAGACCCCAGAGACTCTCAAGACACATGATCAACCTCCAGGAGCCCCAGAACCCTGACCGATCAGCAGAGGTCAGGTCCGCAGCCCTCAGAAATCCTGATCCAATCCCCTGGCCTTTTCCAAGTCCATTTTGGGAGTTACCAGGAGGGCAGGAATTACAAACCGATGAGCATCCGTGATCTTAAGGAAGGTTGCCGGCCAAGGCCCAGGCCACCCCTCCACAAAGCCATATGCACACCCTTCACCATCCACCCCCCCCCCCCCAGTCACTTAAAGAAGAACACAATGACATTTGGGGAGGAGAGTTCTCACCCCAAGTGAATTGAGGCCCCAGGCGAGGCCCTGGGAAATATCACTTCAAAATATCTAAGCTGGACCCACAGTCTGACAGGCTGGAGCCAGGGTGTCCGCAGGGAACACCCATGCCTCTGGCTGGCGCCTCTCAGGGTGCTCCTGGTGCCCCAGCCACCCTGGAGCCACTGAAGCCGGCTCCCAGGGGTGGACCCAGGGCCTTTGGTCCAAGGTCTGGAGGGAGGAGACAGAGACAGCGGAGCCCGCACTAATTCCGGAGTTTCATGAGCTTCACAATGAACTTCGAGGAAGAAGGGACAGTTATACCCATCCTTAGAAACCCACGTCCTAGAGAACTCTCCTTTGGAACCTCCCTTTAGGCCCAAGGCTGGTAACACAGACCCTCCCCAACGTCAGGGTTTTCACAAAGGGGGTGGGGTTGGTGGTGGAGAACAGGAGGCACGAAAATCAAATTCTGTCCTCCAGGCCTGCAGGCGGCTTGGAAGGGTGACCAGGAGTCTATCAAATGCAAAGCCCGTTTGCTTCCAATGCGCCACCCACTCCCTGCCGCCTAGGAGTATAAATGTTTACCAGGGCAGCCTGCCGCTTCCCAAAGCCGCATCAGCTAGCCGGAGCCCCAACTCACAGTCCGGCTTGTGCTTCCCGCTTGCTACCCCATAGACCCTGGGGGACAGGGGGACTTTCCTCGCCCAGTACGACCTCCCTCCTAGTCCCCTTTTTTCCTGGGACCACACTCAGCTACCTTGCTGACGCCCCATCTGTCTTAAACAAAGCCTTTTAATAATCTCAGGGGGTCGGAGAGCGCTCAAGACGGATAAGGTTTTGGGGAAGGGGTGGTCCTATCCTCATATTGCTCTCTGCACACAAACCAACAGGAATATTGATTCCCCCTGATTTAATTAACACGCAGTGGCATGACCTATTTCGAAATGCACAGATCAGTCTTTTCAAAATCTCTCCTAAACTCCACCGGTTATAACAGGGTGCTCCTTGCGACATCTTTATCTTTAAAGAGATCGCTATTTTCAGAAATAGGGGCGGTTCCCTTTTCTCTGTCTTTATACAACTTCCAACATCGCATAGCTACTCAGGACAAACAAATAGCAAATGAATGCCTTAGCGGCCGTCTGTTTCTAACGGGGCTGAGATTGCCTATTAGAATCCAGTAATGGACAGACAGGGTACCGCGGCCCCTCCGCCAACAGCGGCTTCTGGAACGTGAGCACGCCCCCGTGTGGCTCTCCAAGGCCATACAAATGGAAAATGCTATTTCTTGCCTAAGGTGGTGGACATACAAGCTTGCTACATTTAGCCGCAATAAAAAAATATAATAAAAAAGGGGGAAAAAGATAGATGGAGAGAGAAAGAAATAAACCAGTTTTAAGCTCCTGGAACGATCATACTAATACTACTAGGGCACTGACATTTTAACGCATGCCCATAATTCCAAACAAAGGAATCCCTTTCCAAACGAAATTACTCAACTGTAGACTTTGTTTCTATTGTATCTTTCACCAAAGGTTGTAGGACGCTTTTGAAAACAATATATTTTCTTTTGTTCCATGTCATAGAAAGTGCAATAATTTATTTGACAAGGCGACAATTTTTAAAATACATAACGAAGGTGTAAGTCTAAATAAAACTTCCTTTTTCAAATGCCTGCATTTAAAACGGAGGTTCATTATTAGAGCAAAGGGGACAGCTATCCATGACTCCCCTTAAACCCCCCACCATTTTGTAGCTGTATTAAAAACATGCTAGTAGACATTTTAATCTAACTAGTGTTGTGTGTGTGTGTGTGTATATGTGTGTTTTAAGTCAGTTGCTATTGAATTACACAAATGCTTGAAGGGAAATTAAGATTATTGATCCTGAAATTGGGAATTTGCTTAGATTTATGGTGAGCCTCCATATGATTCTGTGTGGTCATAAATGTGTGTGGGGATCTGGATGTGTGAGCATGTGTGTGAGTGGGTGGCGGATGAATATCACAGAAGAACCTTAAGGCGCCTAATTATTCAGAAAGGTTAAAGGTGATGACCTTGACATTTTGGAAGTTCAAAGGCGTACACTTATGCACTTATGTTTTTCCTTGCCCCCTAAAGCTTTGGCAATTAAAAATATTTTTGCATTTGGAAATGCGTGCTTCCTCCGAAGAGGCATGTGGTGCAGTATATCTTATGGATTTATTTTTTTTTTTTTTTTTTACTTTGGGCTTATGAGAGGTTAAAAGTCACAAGATTCACTTTACTCCTTTTCAGAGAAAGAGAAGCTTTTCTCACTCCTCCAGTTTATTGCACATTGCGGAAATCTCTTTTGGGCCCACCAGAAGGTGTATAATATAACCCAATTAAGCTATTTAGAACTTTGGCTTTTATGGTGTTGTCTAGACAGTTCAAGGTTTTGTAAACAGCTTGGCCTGGTCCTGCCACATAAAGTGCAGTACGACCCACCCACCCCCCAACACACATTCTTTAACTTGAAGCGATAAATGTGGAGAAAGCTGGGTCTGCAGCCCTGGGCCCTATTTTAGGAAGAAGCTTATCTTCCCTGTTCCAAACCCGCTGTGACACAGCGAGCGCCTTGAGACCTCTCTTCCCCCTCTGCCCACTTATAATTTCCTTTCTGCAAACTACCCCCCAAAGTGTTCTGATACTGGTTTCTTCTTTTAAGGGACCTTGTCTCCTTGACACTTTGTTAAGAGTGACTTTGGGTTTTCTAACCAGTTTTTAAAAAATGTTTTTTTGTTTTGTTTGTCCCCTGCCTCCTCCCAAATTCCAAGTTCACTAGACTGCTACTTCCGTTCCTGCCGCCCCAGCTCATCCTCTGGAGAAGTCAGCACCAGGGCCACATCCTCAGTTCAGAAAGCCATCCCTAAAGTGCTTTTAAAAACCAATGCCCAGTGCCGGTGGGGGGCGGGGGAGAGGACAACTCTCATTTTAACGGAATTAAAAAACATTCCACTTGAATTTCAGTCGCACGGTGGGCGGGGGAGAAGATTTTGGTCACTAACACATCCTCATCAGACACTAAAATTATTCAAAGAGGAAATTCCATACAGTGTATTGAAGCTGTAACCTCCGTTTTACTAGAAACCATTTATTCACACAAAAGGCAGTGACTCTCGTGCCTTGATCCGACAAACCAAACGTACATTTCCCAGAGTTTAAATAATCTGCGTTCACCGAGGGGGAAGGACAGGGTCCCTTAAACTCAGAACAAAAACAAGTGCCTTGGCAGCCCAGGCCTAACTCTCTACAGATCCCACAGCGTCCGCACTGGGACCTGGAGCGAGAGAGAGGGTAAACAACAGCACACTGGCGGTAAAATTGTAAAGGGACGTTTGCATTACCATTTTCCCCATATTAGGATCCATTCGGCCAAGTCCCCGGCCTCGTCCGCAGGCAGCAGTGGTCGCTGGGAGGTCCCGAGGTGACCGTGGGAAGGAATGGTGGAGTTCCACAGAGAAGAGGCGTCATTAAACCCAAGGACATTGGGCCTACCGAAAGCAGGCTGGTGGGGAGGAGGGTGAGTGCGTGGGGCTTGGGGCAGAGGGGTGCTTCCTGGAGCTCTTAAAACAAGGGGTTTCCAGTGAAATACTGCAGACGGTCTCTGTTCAGTTTCTTTTCCTTCATCCTGCGATTCTGGAACCAGATTTTGACTTGCCGGTCAGTGAGGTTGAGCATCCGAGAGAGCTGGAGTCTTTTCTCTTTGTTTATGTACACGTTAAAGAAAAACTCGCGTTCCAGTTCGCGGATCTGGTACTTGGTGTAGGGACAGCGCTTTTTCCGGGACCGCTGGGGGGCTGCTGCAAGGCAAAGAGACCGAGGGGTGAGAGAGGCCGCCGCCTGCCAACCTCCGCCCACCCATCCTCCCGCCCAGGCCTTCGCCAGGGCCAGGCCTGGGCCCTGCTGGGGACTCCCCTGCGGCTGCTGAAAGGCCCTGCCTTCGTCGCGGGGGGGATGATATATGGGCGGGCACAGGAGAGAGTGCGGGGCGAGGACGTGTGTTCACACCCACACACACACACACACACACACACACACACACACACACACACAGCCTGGCACCCAGGTGGAGGAGCAGGGCTCCGGGCAGGCTCTGCGCTGGAGCCCGAAGGAAGGGAGAGAGACACGAGCGCGCCGGGCATCTGCTTGGCCCCGGCCAGCAGCGCGCTCGGGCCAGAGACTTGGAGAAAGTCCAGTCCAAGGACCAGCACCCCCACCCGCCGCCAGCACCTCCGCCAGCACCTTAGCGCAGGAGGCGCGAGTGTCCACACTAACACATGGGCTTGGGATCTCCCCTCCTTCGCGCCTCCCTCCGCGGTCTCCAGCACAGACACACCCCAAACTGTGGGCAAAGCTCTCCGCGGCGATTAATGTGCTCCTCCAAGTCCACCTTAAGCCCACCTAAATTGGTTTCCTATCGTAAACACGCTTTACAACGGCCCGGGAAATCTTATAGGATGTATAAACCTCTTCGAACGCTTATAAAGTAGCACATAAAACGGCGCAAGCGGAGGGAGGCCCCCGCGCCCCCCCTCCCCCGCCCCGCGCCCCGCGCCCCGCGCCTACCTGTGCCGCCGCTCTTCTCGGCCCCCACCTCCCCCGGGGGTCCCTCGCCGTCACCCCCGCCGCTGCCTTCCGCCGCCCCCTTGGGCTCCGAGGCGGCGGGGGTCGCCTTGGCGCAGGGGCTGCCCCCGCCGCCGCCGCCGGCCCCCGCCTTGGGGTCGCCCTTGTCGGCGGCGGCGGCGCCCTCGGGCTGCGGGGGCGCGGGCGGCGGCGGCGGGGGCTGCGGCCCGGAGAACGGGGGGCCGGGCGCGGCCTCGTAGAACTGGTCGAAGCCCTGCGGCAGGATGCCGTTGCGGCCCACGGCGCTGTAGAAGTTGGGAGCGGGGCCCGCGGGCCCGTGCGGCGGCCCCGGCGCGGCGCACACCGGCTCGGGCGCCTTGAAGAGCACGTCCGGCCGGCGGCCCGCGGGCGGGAGCAGCTCGCGCTGCATGGCCGCCTCCTCGGCCGCCGCCGCTGCCGCCGCCGCCGCCGCCGCCGCCGCGTAGTAGGGCGCGTAGCCCCCCGCGCCGCCGCCGCCGCCCCCGCCGGGGCCGCCCCCGCCGCCGGCCCCCGCGCCCCCGCCGCCGCCGCCGCCGCCGCGGTACGGCCACTTGGCGCGCTCCAGGCCGTAGTCGCGGAAGGCCACCTCGCGCACGGGCTGGACGTGCGGCGCCAGGTTGGAGGAGTACGGGAAAGCCATCTGGCAGGACGACGGCTGCGACAGGAACGACGGCTTGCTGGCGAAGTCCGACGGGGCCACGTAGTAGGCGCAGCCGGGCAGGTACATGCTGGCTGCTGCGCTCGGGCCGCACTCGTCAAAGTCGTTCATGGCTCCGCGGCGGCGTGCGCGCCGGCCAGCCCCGGGCCGCTCCCCGCGCCGCCAACCTGAGCCATGGATTGCACAAGAGGCTCGGGCCAGGATCAACTAAGCAAAAATCCCCACCGGGCGCTGACGTGCAATTCATCTTGATTGATTCTGGTGGTAATTATGTCACGTGACGCCATGGAGAGAGAAATGTCCTTATATCTATATCAGCGCTCGCCAACACGCCCCGGGACGGCTCCTGGCGCCGAGGCACGCGCGTTGGGGGGCGGATCGACCTCCCTCTCCAGCCAGATCTCCTTGGGCGCCCCCGGCTAGGCTAGGCGGCTCCGCGGGCCGGTCACCTGTGCGTCGCCGGTGGCTGCCACTGCCGGGTGCATCTGCCACCGCCCGCCCGGGCCGCCCGCCCGCGCCGCTTAAGTACGCGGACCGAGGCTGGCGGGGAGGAGGCGGGAGGAGGAGGAAGGGGGAGGAAGGGGGAAGGGAAAGGAGCGGAGAGCAGAGGGGGGAGCCCCGGGCCCGGGGCACTGGGGACTAGGTGTGAGGGTGTGAGGTTCCCACTCTCCACACCCCTCCCAGCAGCCGATCCCTCCCCCGCGACGCCACTACCCCAGCCAGCGTGCCAGCGAGGAGCTTGTTGCTTCTCCTTCAAGGGGCGTGATTGCGCAGCTCTCAGGCGCAAGGAGTCTGATTTACATATTTCTCTGCCAGGCGCTTTCGCTGCGGAGGAACTTGGCTCTCTTCACTCCTGACCCCGGGAGCCCAAGTGCCAGCCTCGGAAAAACCCACTCCAAACAGCCTACCAGGAGCTCACTGGGGCTAGGGCCTCGGTGCCCATTCCGACCTGTCGCCCTCTTTTCTCCTCTCTCTGCTCCTGTCTCTTCTTTCATCTTCTTTCTTGTAGCCTTCTCAGTTCTTGCTCTCCTAGTCCTGATTTCTGTTCCCCTCTCTTGTTTCTTCCTTTCCCCTTCTCCTACTTTTCTATCTCCTCCTCTCTGCTCCGTCTCCTGACATTCTCTCCTCCTTTCCCCTAGCTCTGTGTCACAGCCTCTATCTGGATCCCTGTCGCCCCTGCCTTTTTCCCTTTCAGCGTTAAAGTAAGGGGGACATCCTGATGGCCCCTCTAGAAGCTGGGGGGTCTGATGAACAAAAGGACCTGGAGTCCTTCTCTCAGGGTGCCCGGCCTTCAGCTCCCCCACAACCAGAGACAAGCCACCAGGCCTCTGCCCTTCTCCCCCTCTCTGCTTTCCGGCGGGATGTGGGACCAGCGGCCTCACAGACAGCCCAGGCCCTGTGTGGGAACCCATCAAGGCCTGCTTATCTGCCATTATCTCCCCCTGGTCTCCTTTCTGTCCTTGGGCCTACACAGTCACTGCACCACCCTCTCCCCAAGTCTGTTGATTTGGGGGGTGTCTCTCAGCAGCTCTTGCCTCCTTGCTTGGCTCGGCTCTGAGGACCTCCCATCCGCTTGCCCCAAGGCATCGCTCTCCTTGGTGGCCACGTCGTCCCTGTTTCCTAGCCTAAGGGATCCAGGCAAGGCCTGGGCTCCCGCCTACCTCCGGAAGGGCCAGCGCTTTCCAAAGGTAAAACCAGCCTCTCAGAAAGAAGCTCCCCCAAACCCAAATCCCAGAATCCAGGGTGGGAAGTTGCTCCTTTCCTCAGGATTCCTCTGCCCAAGCAGTCAGAAACACTGAGTCCTGGGGCTCAGCCCTCCACCCAGGGCAGGCACAGGCTGTGCAGGGGTTCCCTCCCTGGCTCCGGCCACTGTGGTGCCCCCGAAGTGAGCTCTGCCCACAGTGCCGACACACACAGAGAGAAAAGGCGGGTGATCCGAGCTCCTATCTATTTTCTGGCCAATATTCCCCCTCTTCCTCTTTCTCTCCTCCCTTCCCTTTTCCCTCCCACCCTCCCCTCTCCGCCCCCACCTTCCTACCTCTGCTTCCCTCCGAATGAACACAGCACAAATTGGTCGGTGGCGACTGGAAGACAAGGAACCTCCCCCGCCTTCACCCCCCACCCCCAGAACTGCCCATCCTTTTGTGCACCTTCTCAGAGCTGGCACCTTTACCCAGATCCCAGCCGCCCGACTGCCCGCACAGTTATCCATCCGCCTTCCCACCCGCATTCCCGGCCTAAGCCTCCTTTTGGGCTCTTGTTGACGCCCCTGGATCCTTCTCCTAAAATGGCTCCCGGGACACCGCTCACTAGCCCCGCGGCAGCTCAGGACCTGGGCCACCTCGGCGGGGCCCCGGCCGGCCGGGTCTGTCTGTGCCTGGGGGCACACACAATTCTCGAGCCTTCTCCTCTCTGCATGGGGTGGGGCGCAGGCATCCCTCTGCCCCCACATGAAGCCTGCTGGCTGCCTAAGAGGGAAATGGGGAGGACGAGCCATTCAAGTTCAACGACATGGCGATGGCGGCTCGGGCTGGAGCCGCGCTCTGGCGGGGGAGGGTTCGCCATCGGCGGCGGCCCGCGGGTGGAAAGAGAAAAGGGGCCGGCGGGCCCCCTCCGCGCGTTTGCCCCGACCCCCGCCCCCACCCATACCCAAGCCAGGGCTTTCGTTCTGGAACCAGCCCGCTTCGTCCTTTGGCCCCAGCTCCCTTTCTCAATCTTTATCCCAACCCCAAAGAAAACCGGCACCTCCCAACCCGCGCGTCCCGCTCGCTGGAGAACCTACCGTGCAGACCCCGGTGCGGTGGCCTCGTCCTTCCCTGCTCGACCCCACTCGAGGCACAGGGAGCGCCCCGCACCCTCCCCGCACAGCCCGCAGCTCCGCGAGTGGCAGCTTTCCGAGCAGCGCCTGGACGCTCTGCGGTAACGTGGAGCCACCCAAGATAAGACACTAACTTGACCTTAACTTTGTCAGGGCGCCCCTGGTATCTGGAGAACGTGAACAGACACTGTCTGGCAGCTCTCGTAAAAGCTGCCTGGGGAAGGGATTCTGAGTCATTTCATTTATTGCCACTACAGTTCTGCAAGAAAGCTTTTCCTCCCTGCCAAACTTTAATTATTTATGCTCTTTTAGGAAACGAAAGAAGAGGAGAAACGAGGGGAAAACACCCAGAGCCAGTCCCTTCCTGCAGAGCCTTGGGAATGAGCTCCCTAAGTCAAGTGACTGGAGAACAACAGCAACAACAACAAAATGTGGGAGATCACCTTTGTCCAAGGATGATCAGACGGGCGCCCAGCACCCCCACCCCCACCCCCACCGCCACTAAGGTGGGTGGATGCAGCTGGGAGAGGCGGGGTGAAAGGGCACCCCCTTCCAGGCACACACATGAATATTTACAACAATTCTGGATTTCTCCTCCACCCTACCCCCCTCCCTTGCCTCCCGGAAGCCTTCCCAGCCCGCCTCCTGGGGGGGGAGCCCGGGTCTTAAAAGCGTCCCGTAGGCTCCCGGGGTTCGCAGTCCATTGAATGCCAGAAGAAGCAGTTTGGGGGTTTGTTTGTTTTTTCTTTCTCTCGTTTAAAAACCATTTTCTTGGTAAAGAGGCCTGCCTGGACTGCAGCATTTCCGAGTACCTATTTGTCTTTGTGCGAGGGAATGTCGAGCACTCAGACTGCAGCATCCTTTCTCCTGGGCGTTTGTTCCTCGTGAATTTCATCGTGGTTCCAAATCCCCGCCCGGATTTCAGCTACGGCTACTACAGGAGAGAGGACACCGCCACACTGCCGCCTTTGTGTTTGTGCAGCTCAGTAAAGGAATAGATTTGAAAAACATCGCCCAAGCCATACGCCACAGACAAGATCTTACAGTTAGGATAATTTCAGTCTGTTTGGGGAGTGGTCTCCACGAATATCTCCTCCCACCCTACATACGGGCTAAAGAGAGAAAGAAAAGGATGCTTTAATGATGTATATTAGAAAGAAATGGCCTCCTGCATGCTGTCTCAGGTCTTAGGTTTAAGTCTGGCTTCCTGTTCCTTTACCCAGCGCCCGAACCTGGGGTCCGAGTATGGGAGTATGGTCTCCTCTTTTGTTTGGATGTTTTGAGAACCAGCTCCAGGTACCAGTGCCTCCCAGACCCCACAAGATAGGGAAACATTTCTAAAGAAAGGGCCTCCACAGTCCCTTGGCTCCTTCTTCCTCCGTTGTATTTTTTAAAGGAGCTGCTTCACAACTATTTTTAAAGTACTCATCAAATTCGATTGTGGAAAGGGGAAATGGAACCATTACATAGTCAGTATTGGAGATTTGGCAGTTTTGTTCATTGTCCCACTTGCTAAAAACTAGAAATCCTTTACCTTCCCTCTCCAAGCTCGCTGGAGCTGGGGTCTGTAAGAGGACAGTGAACACAGCAGGCCTTTCCTTGCTTTCCCTGGCTGAGCTACAGGCTCGGAGAACCTAGCGGTGCAGAGGCCCCATTTCCCAAGGGTGTTTGCTGGGCTGAAGATGAAGGTGCCACAGGGCAGAGCCTCTTCTAGAGAAGCCTGACCAAAACATGGCAGGGTGAGAGGTTTGTATTGAAATATGAGGAACCTCATATCTTGGTAGCCTCTTCCCAACCATCCCCCAACAATAGCAAGCTTTCAAGTTTGAGGATTTAGGCAAAATACAGAAGCCCTGCCTGCAATAAGCTGAGGGTTTGCTCAGTGTGTGAGACACACTCAGATCTGTCCATGAATCCCCCTCTTTGGTCATTTCACACACATTTTGTTCATACATCATTCCCTGACTGACTTGGAAGACATTTTCACATTTCATGAACAATCAAGTCAATACCTACAGTGAAGCGGCAACCGCTCTGAAATTTCATGGCCTGAAAAAACATTAGGAGGGAATCCGAAACGTTTTGATAAATCAACAGCAGTCCCTTGACAACTTGGCTGGGACCTGGATATTTATTTCCACTCCAAACATGTCTATGTGCCTGATATATACAAGCTATTGTTTTTGACAAAATCAAAACAAAATAAAACATGCATGACAACTCTTAGATAGCAGAGAAAATATAATTCATCTAAATATCAACTAAAGCCAGTGTGGCTGCAGCTCAGGGGCTCCTTGTGAGGTGCCCACTCTAGATCCAGGGCCTGGTCCTCCACTGAAAATAAATCATGGGAAGGAGTGTTCAAGCTCTTAGGCTGTTGTGCATCTTGCCAGGAGTTGGGGGCGCTCATTCACAGAAGGAGAGGAAAAAGAAGCAGGGACGGTAAAAGGAGTTTAGGGGGCCCGCGGGTTCAATGAGGTTAAGACAGGATACCCCGGTACATGCGGAACAACTCCCTTCGGCATCCTGGAACCCCAGCCTCCACAAAGTAAGCCTCGCAAAGCCCAGGGCCTTTCAGACTCCATCGGGGGAGACCAGACATGGCCCCAGAAAGGGCTCCATGTTTGGGCCCCCCATGGATTCGGAGGGGGGTGGAGAAGAAGAGGGGAACTTCTAGTCCTCTCTACTTGGTCAAGAGCTGCTTTGAGGGGCCCAGGTTCTGAGGAAACTCCTTCCTTGCCTGCCCCGACTGATCGATGGATGGAGGAGCTTTCACTTCTCCTCTCAGTGGCCCGTTACTGTAATTTAAGGAAGAAAGACACATGGACACCTTTACCCACCTTGACAGGAAAGTCATGTTTACATTCGGAATGTAGGACACCCCTCTCCCTTCTCACTCCATTCTCCTGCCCCCCACATCTCCCCCTCCTTTTAGTGCAGCCCAGCCTCCAAGCAGACTAGCAGCCCCTCATCAGAGCTCCCCTCTGGGGGTCCAGTTACAAAGCGCAGGGCTTTGGCCTAGGCGTGTGTGAGGGGGTGAGGGGAGCAGGGGAAGTTTACCAGTCTTGGCCATGAAGTGCAATTCACCATGGAGCCCAGCCTCCCTTGTCCCATTCACGAGAAGGGAATATCCAGTCCATGCCCCCGAGCTGGAGGAGCCAATCCAGCCTGAACTCCCAGGTGTCTCTGAGTGTGTAGGGCCACACTCCTCCCCCTTTCCTCCCCAAGTCTGGAGGTCTAGGGCACTCTTGTCCTCCCAAACCATCCAGGGCAGAGAGGAGGGAGTGGTGGTGGAGACACCCTTTCCTTTCCCCAAAATCAAGATTCCTGGCTCTTCCACAAGGGACTTTGGCTGCAAAGAGACACCGTTATGCCCACAGCCCTTTCCACTCTGCCCTGCAGGCCTTCCTAAAGTCAATCGCCAGCTAAACGTAGAAGAAATTAGGGAGGAGGGAGAAGGGAGAATAGCTATGTGAAAGCAGAAATCCGAGTAAAAGGGAGCTGGAGTGAGCCCAGGTTTAAACGCTGCAGTCAAAAGCTAAGACAGGTGCACCCAGCCCCCCACTGGGGAAGCCTCAAGGCCAAGGTTGTGCTGCAACTTCCACAGCCCCTCCGGGAAAGGAGAGAGCCTGGAGGTCTCCAAATCTGACCAGGTCTCCAAATCTCCTGCTGGTTTTCGGGGCTGCAGACAGCGGAGCGGGAGGGTACCCAGGACCAGCTGAGAAGGAGCAGAAGGAAAAGCCCCCGCCTCAGCTCTTCCTCCGCGGCGCCAGGCTTCAGCTCAGAAAGGAAGGCCCGGCCATGGCCAGGCCCCGGGCTAGTAGAGCGCCAGCGCCTGCTCCCGAAGCACCACGCGCTTCTTCTTCATGCGACGGTTCTGGAACCAGATTTTAACCTGCTGGTCGCTGAGGTTCAGCCTGTTGGACAACTCCTTGCGCTTCTGCCGGTTGATGAATTCGTTCAGGAGGAATTCGTTCTCCAGCTCCGCGATCTGCTGCTTGGTGTAGGGTTTCCGCTTCTTGCGGGCCCTCCCGGGGGCCGCCCCCCACGGCAGGCCTGCAATACAGCCCGAACCCTAGTCAGCCCAGCCTGCTCCCTGCAGCCTGCCCGCCCCCGGAGGCTCCCTCCCCCTGCGCACGCTCCCCTGCTGCACCCCACCTCCCCATTCCTGCCCGTCCTGGCCCGGGGAGCACGGCCGACCGGCCAATGTTTACCGTCGGGCAGCGAAGGTCGCAGGCAAGATGCGACGCCCGCTGCCTGCACTGTCATGTTCAAGTTGAGCGGGCCCTTGGCGTCGTCCTTGAAGCCGGCGGCGCAGGGGGTCCCCTCAAGCAGGGCCGCGGAGCCGGGCGCCGCACGGCCCACCCCCGCGTAGTCGTACTTGGCCGATTTGAGACCCGCGGCCGCGGGGGCCAGGCCGGGCTCGGGGGCAAAGGGCGGCCGCGCTCGGCCGCGCTCCTCCGGCCCGGCGACCGCGTCGGGCGTATAGAACTTGGCCTGCTCTTCGGGCCGGTCCTTGGCGCCCAGGGGCTGCAGGCCCAGCGGCCCGGAGCCGGCCAGGTAGGGCTGCGAGAAGCTGCCGAAGGCCGTGGCCCCGGCGGGCTGCGCGGGGGCGCAGGAGGCGGGCGCGGTGGCCCAGGGCAGCGCGCCGCGCGGGTAGGAGATGGGGGGCAGCGCGGCCAGCTGGCCTCCATTCGGCCGCAGGTTGGAGAAGTAGAAGGAGTCCGGGGACTGCAGGTTCAGGAGCGAGCCCACATAGCCCGCTCTGTAAAGACTGCTGCGCTCGCACATCTCCAACAAAGGGCCTGGGCTGCGCTCGCAGCAGTATTTAGTTACAACCGAGAATAAGAGGACAAGGCTCAGACGATTGGACGAAACTTTGCCTGCAGGTTCTTCAAAGTCGGTCATTTCAGCACCGCCTACATCCCCCGACCCGGGTTCCCCCCCTTCGGGGTATTATGATAACACCCGCAATATTTGATGGCGAAGGACCAGGCTGCCAGGCAGAGCCCAGGCATACTGAGGGGAGGGGAAGCCTGCGGGTGTTCCCAGGCCCAAGTGTAAGGAGCTGGGGGCATTGGGGCGTAGAGGGTGCTTTGCCGGAGTGTCCCTTGGGACCCTTCTTGGTCTTGATTGGCTTTGCGCTCCCGTATCCTCCGCTTACCTGGGCCAGGCTTTGCTTCTCCCAGCTTTAAGCTGCAGCTGAGGCCTTTTCCAGCACCCGGCGACTCCCGGCTTGTCTCAGAAGATCCCGTGGTCCCTGTGCTGCCACCAGCTCTATCCCTGGGCCTAAGCAATGCTCCTCCCAACCCGTTCCTCCCCATCCGGTCTCCCTGGAGAGGACTCTTCACCGGGGACCTGGCAGTGAAGACCTTGCTCGAGGTCTGGGTCCAGGCTGCGGGCACCGTCCCAGAGTTTTGAGGATGGAGGAGAAGGGCATCACAAACTCTCCCAACTCCGGCGCCCAGGGAAGGAGGCTTCTCACCAATCCTGGGTGCTTCTTCAAGGCCAAGCCCTCTGCATCCGAGGAGGCCCTGGCGGGGCAGCTCGATTGGCCAAGGCTACATTCCTTTTTACCGCAAGGAGTCACCTTGGCGACTGCATCCTGCCAAGCAGAAGTCCAAGGTGTTTATCCCCACTGCGACGGCCCCCAGCCCGGTCAGGACGGAGAGAAGAGCCAGAACCGCCGGCCAGGCGTGGCGGGGCCCGCGGAGGGAGAGGGCGAGCAGCCTTCCTCCGCTCAGCGCCTCCGGGGGCCTGGGAGGCCGGCAGGTTCCGGGGACCGGCCAGCACGGAGGTGGGCGGGGCAGCCTCCTGTGCCGAGAGCCCTGGGTGTAGCCTGGTCAGAGGACTGGGGGTCCTCCTCTCCTGCCCCCGGTCCTAGCACCCCCAGCGGTCCCTGCCCGGAGCCCGGCCCGGCCTGCAGCCGCCTCGCGGTCCCCGAGCCAAGCTGGAATTGGTTAGCCCGCCAGCCTGGCCCCGGACCACACAGGCGCCGCCGGAGGGCACGCTGACCACCGCGCTGCGACTTTATTGTGTGAGTTATGGCGACCAATTGGGCGGCTCTGGGGAACGCAACCGGCCTCTTCCTCCCGCTCCAGGGCGGGGGGTGGGGGTGGGGGTGGGGGTGGGGGTGGGGGTGGGCGAGTCGGGGGCTCCTCAGACTGTCGGTTGGTTTCCTTAGGCGCTCAGACACTGAAACGAGCTCCCCTCCCCGTCCTTCTATGATGGGGAGGGGGAGGGGGAGGACACTGGCTGCAACCTCAGTTCCTTGGGACTTAGGGGGCCTAGGCTCTCATTTTTTGAAGAGCTACAGCCTCCCCAGGCTCAAAAGCTCCCGCTCCAGGGGGTTCCTGCGTTCTCCTCTCCTCCCATATCAGTGAGCAGGGATCCCGGTATTTCCAAGTGTACCCCAACACTTAGTAGCCTCACAGCTGCGGTTTGCGCGCCCCCCCTTGCCCCAACTAAAGATAGAAAAGAACTAAGTGAGACACAGGGGGAAAAAAAAAAAAAAAAAACAGAACAACTAGATTATTTTTTTCTCCTTGGCTCAGCCGCCCCGCCCCATCTCCTGAGTTTATGATTTCCGAGGGCCGGCAGGCTAAGCTGTGTGCTCGGAGCTGGGAGCTGGGTACTGGGAGGAGGGCGGCGCGGGGGGAGGAGGCAGGAGGCTGGGGTGAGCTGGAGAATGGGAAAGGAAATTTGGCCTTGGAGTGAAACGGCGAGCTCTGCCAATGCCGCCAACTGCCCAGGAGATGGCGAGCGAGCTCCACGCCTGGAGAGGCGCCGCCGCTCGGTCAAGATCAACAGTGAAGGGCGGCGCAGGCGGCCGGCGCCTCCAGCCGGTGCAGCCACCGCGCACCGCCCTCCGGCGCGGCCCGGCGGCCGGAGCGCCGGGGGCCTGGGCGGCGGGGCCGGCCGCGACCGCGGAGCCAGAGCCACTCCTCCAGCTGCCGACCGGGGAAGCGTCGCGGCCGCCCCTTTGTCTGGCGGTGCGTCCCGGCTCCAAAGCCTCCTTCGCCCCTCGAACCAGGCGCAGACGCGCGGGCCTCCATTCTCCCTGCACCCGTGGAGCCGAAACCCGCCGGCCTCGGAGGCGCTCTCCGCGGGGCCTCCGTCTGCACCCCAAGGCGAGGCCTCTCCCCGAGCTCCCCGCGATTCCCAGCCTCCTTTCCAGCCCTGAGCCCACCGGCCGGCTCCTCTCCTCCCTCCTCCCTCCGGAATATAAAAGGAATTCATATAAATAACCCAGTCTTCATCTGTTATTGATTTAGCCGTCAATTCAAATTCCGCCGGGAGAGCGTTTAAGCGCAGTTTTAATCTCCAGCAAACCTCTCATTTCTCTTAGGCGGAGGGAAACGGACGGGGAAACTACGGAGGAAAGGAAAACCTCGAGGCACCCCCCTCCCCCCCCATTCAGTTATAGGAAACCTGATAAATGGACCCAGGAAATGGAGGACGGGCCCCTGAAGCTGGAAGTTACAGAAAGGAAGGTGAGGAAAACGATGATGGAGAAGGGAAAACAGGCCCGTTTCGGATGAAAACACATCTTATGAGAAAAACAGAAAATGTTAGTAATTCTTCCCAAAGTGGAAGGTCGGGCATGGTGTGGCCCATTTTCAGGGATTCTTTCTTCTCCAGAGATTGAATCCTGGTCTCTTCTCCTCCTCCTCTTCTTCCACCTCCTCCCCCCTCTGTGTGTGTGTGTGTGTGTGTGTGTGTGTGTGTGTGTGTGTGTGTGAGTGGGAGAGAGAGAGAGAGAGAGAGAGAGAGAGAGAGAGAGAGAGAGAGAGAGAGAGAGAGAGACTCATTATTAAAACCAAGTTGGCCACCCCACAATCAGTTGCAAGATATGAGAGAAACCAAGCCGTGCCAGAGAAAACGAAAGTAGCTTCGAACCTCGGATCTCTGCGCTTTCTCTGGCAGATGCCTAAAGGAGCCCTCCCACCAGAGGAGTTTACATACTGTGTGAGGTTTTAAACATCTGTACCGAGCTTACATTCCAAAAAGTTAGCAACCACTAAACCGATCGTGCCTGGGTGTTAACAATGACGAGGCACCCCATTCCTGAAGGGCCATTTCCCTGAGAGGCAAAAAGTAAGTTCTGAGTGCCTAAACTTTGCGTCCAGAGGCTTAGGGTGTATAATTATGGTTCCAGTCTTCAACTGCTACGTGCAGGCAAGCTGAGAGTAGGCGATAAGGCAAAAGCTGAGATGTTTCTTTTTCAATTGCCAAATATGGGTATGTCTAATTTCAAGACCTTCCTCGAGGAGAGATAGATATTTATAACAACCTTTCTAAGAAGAAAACCTCCAAGTGAGCGGTTTTCCTGTGCCCACATTTTTCAATCAAAATACCTATTGATTTTTAAAAATAAAACTGAATAAATTGATAATGTTCAAAGAGAAGTAAAATTTTATTGGAGATGTTTTTGAGGTGGCCTGGTTAAAAAAAAAATATCATTTTAGACACCACAAGTTATATCCTCATTTAAAGTCATCACTATTTATATTAAAGCCATGGGGAGGTGGGGAGGAGTGGCAGACTGGAGAGGAGGGGGTTTCCAGAAATGGCGTTGAGTTTTCATCACCCATAGGAAACATCATAGTGATTTGGATAACAAAATTTTATAATAAATAAGAATAGTTTCTAGAGGCAACATAAGCTTGGAAAAGAAAACAAATGTATAAAGACTCAGAGGAAATAAGAGAGTTCTGTTTATTTGCATCTCCCTAGGAGTAAAAAGTGATATTTAAATGCCTGAAGGACTGCTCCTGTATCCCAGCTCACAGACATTTTATCTACAAAAATAATCTCTCAGTCACATAAATATGCAGCACTTTAAAAGCAGTTATCACTTTCAGCAACATCTTCTTCTTCTTCTTGAACCTTAAAGCTCCACAATTTTTGCATTTGTTAGATGTTGTATAGCTCTGAGGCCCAATACATTTGTTCGGGTGGTCAAATTCTTCAATGGGTTCTGGGTAAAAGTTCCCACTCATGGTCATATTCATTTAGCCTTTCTTCTGAGGACGCAGGCCATGGCCTCGATTCTAGCCCCACAGACTGGGAGCCAAGGAGAGGGTTGCATTTTGATACCTCTGACAATTGCAGCCATTGAAATATTTGCATCAAGAGCTGGGGTAATAAAGGTATCCACAAGGACACATTATTTTCAAATTAAAGATAATAAAAGCACATGTCTACAAGGTGTATTAAACACATACAACTACAACAGCAAGTGAAAGACCCAAAGTCAAATAGATTGTCTTCATCCCAATACAAACACTATTTAATAAGGTAGCTGCTTTTAAAGCCATCACAGTGCCTCCAGCCTCCTGTTTTTAGACACTTCCAGTGACCCTGGAACACTGCCTGCCCAGAGCTGTTTTCACTTGCTTCAGGGCAATTGCTGAGAGGTAATTATTCAATTACCCAGTCACAGGATATGAATGACTGCAAACGTTTTGCCCTAATGGATTATGAAGATAATCAGTGCTGGAAATAGGCATTTAAAGTGATTTTTTAAAAATAATAAATCCCTAACATCAGAATGGCACTTTTGAAATTCATTGGGGTGAGGGGAGGGTATTAAAAAATACTTCAAGTCCTTTATACTGGCCTGGAGGGAGAAACAGAACATCAAAAAGTCATAAAAAAATAAACCTAGAAAAGAACAAAATCAATAATAAACAAGTAAGAAACAGAAACAGAACTACAAAGTCAGGTTGGATAGCAAAAAGTTTTAGAGCAAGATAAGGGGAAGAGAGAAAAAAACAATTCACAAAATGTGCCATTACTGGCAGGGGGTGGAGGGAATTAAATACATATTCAAGTCTTTCCAAAGGTCTTTTGGAGACAGCGGAAAGCATTTAAACGCTCTGTGGCCAATCCGGCCCACATCAGGAAACAGTGTCTTTGAGCTTGGAGACGATTTTCTTGTCTTTCACTCTCCGGTTCTGAAACCAAATGGTCACTTGTCTTTCGGATAGGTTCGTAGCAGCCGAGATCCGCCGCCTCTTGTCCTTGTTAATGAACTTGTTAATGGCATACTCATTCTCCAGTTCTTTGAGCTGCAGTTTGGTGTAGGGCACCCTCTTCTTCCTTCCACGACGGTAGACACACATGTCTGGCTGATTTAGAGCCACATCCCCTGGTATAAAAACAAAACAGCATGGGAATCATTAGACCAGAATATCTGCAGAACCTAGTTGGGGACTGTGTGTGTATGTACACGCGCGTGCGCGCGTGGAGGGGCAGCAGTGACTAAAGAAAGCCAGGCTGTTTACATTTTATCATTATTTACACAGACATTATTTGCATGTTATTAAAGAAGGGTTATTTACACTTCAAAGTGAAGGTCTACTTGATGGATCATCATGATTTCTCAAACCGGCATCTTAACAAGCCTGCGACTCTTTTTTATGGCGCAGTTATTGGGGATGTTCATAAGGACAGTTTCAGCAAACACCGGTTGTGCACATACAAACCATACACAGACTTAAAAAAAAAAAAAAAAAGGCAGGCTGTTTGTCCAGGCTTCGATTTCTTGTGTACCTGTGTTTGAAACTGGTGAGCTTTAGCGGTTACTCTGGGGCATTCATGTCCTTGAAAAGTAGGGCCCAACTCTGTGACACCTCTTTGGGGAAGGGAAACCTCGGCCCGACTGAGCAAAGGGCACGCAAAGACGTTCGACTTTAGGAGAGAAAAAGGCCTGTATCCGTTACATAAAATGAAAAGGGCTGTGAGAACGCTTAAATCCAAGGAGGAATCTACAGATTTCACACTAATTGGGTTAACCCTGGTTGGGCAAGGACAGGGGCATACACTCCTTTCTTTTCCTCCCCCCCCCCCCCCCCCCCCCCGTCTCCCTCCATATCCCTCCTCCTCCCCACCCATGTCCTTACCTGGAAAGGATGATTTCCAAAAGTGGGAGCCCTGCGGCTGGTCCTTGGCGCAGTACACCTGGCTGTTCCACCCGTTGGCCAGCGTCCAGGACTGGTAGCCCTCCATGGAGATGTATGCCTCGTGCCGAGGCTCCCCGGAGCCGAAGGTGGACACCATGTCGATGTAGCCGGGCACGTGCTGGTAGGGGCTGGTGTAGCCCTGGTAGAAGGACACCTCCTTGGCCCGCGCCGGCACCTCGTTGGCCGGGACGCTGCCGCTCGCCAGGCCCGACACGTCCATGTACTTCTCCACCGGGAACCCCCCCAGCGAGGAGTGCGGCGACGACTTGAGGGCGTTCTGCTGCAAGCCCATGCCGTGCGACATGCGGCAGCTGTAGTAGCCGTTGCCGAAGTGGTAGCCGTAGCCCAGCGCCGGGGCGCCCGGGGGCGCTGCGGCGGCTGCCCCGGGCGCGGGGCACTCCTTGGCCGCGGGGGCCTCCGGGCGCGCCGAGACCGCGGCCGAGGACGAGGACGACGAGGCGGAGCCCGCGCGCTCCGAGGCCCCGGGGTAGGCGAAGCCGGACGCCGCCGCCGCCGCAGCAGCCGCCGCCGCCGCCGCCGCCGCCGCGCGCCCCGAGTGCGTCCCCGCGAACACCGGCGCCGAGAGGAAGCCGCGGCACTGGCCCGGCGCCGCCGCCGCCACGGAGGAGGAGGAGGAGGAGGAGGCCGAGGCCGCGCCGGCGGCCCCGCCGTCCGCCCGCAGCCCGTCCATGTCCCAGCTCCCGGCGCGGCTCATGGCCCGGCCCGGCCCGGCCCCGGCCCCGGCCCCGGCCCCGCGCAGGACACCATGGCGCAGCGCGCCTCCGCCCTCCTCTCCTTTCTCTCTCGCTCTCGCGCTCCCGCCCTCTTCCTCTCTCTCGCCCTCTCTCCCACTGCAAGCCTCCCGCCTCCCTCCCGCCCGCCTGCCCGCCCTCCAACAGGTTAGCTCATCGCGGGACGTTTATAAAAACGAAGTTCAGGTTGGGAGGGGGCCCGGGACGGCCGGGGGGCCGCCTCCCTCCCCGAGGGCTCCGGCTCGGGGCCGCGCCATTGGCTGCGCGGGGCCACGTGAGGGTGGGGGCGCGGGAGAGCCTGGCTCCGGGCCCGCGCCCCTCTGGACCCACCCACCCGGCCCCCACCCCTCCGCAGCCCCCGGAGCAGCCCACCTCTCCTTCCCGCCCTCCCGGGGACCCTGGCGTTTGCGCCGCAACCGCCCCCACGGGCTGATTGCGCGACCAACCACCCGAGGCCCTGTTTCCTTGCGACTGAGGCGGGCTCTGAGGCCTGCGCCTCGTCTCCGCTGAGGCTGCCTTTGCCACCTCTCCTTGGCTCCCGAGCAGCTCAACTAAATGAAGGGGAACGACAGAGATGGGCAGGATGATGGGAAAACAAACCGGTTTTTCATCCCGTTGCTTAATGACTCAAACTAGACCCTACACCCGAGAGAGCTAATTTTCACAACCTTGCGGGGGGGGGGGGGGGGGCAAAGGCATTTCGCGCATATTATCTCAGGGGATCCTCCGAATTAAGACCGTTTGAAGTAGAGACCCTACTTATACACGTTGTCTGCCTGGAAATGCTCACAAAGCGCCCATGGGGCCAAACGCGGAGACTTACGATCTGCCCCAGCGAGAAAAGTCCGTGCCTGGTCCCCTGGTCCACGTTTTTCGCCTCTACCCTTGGGCCAGCCGGGAGTCACCTCCCGAGCTGGACTCCCCAGGCCTGGCGCAGCCTCTCCACAGCCTTTCATTGAGGGCTCCGTGCAAACGCCACTTCGCCGCGGGCGCAGAAGTTAAGCGCCCCGCCTGCAGCCACCCCCCACCCGCCGCCCCCGCCCGCCCGTCACTCACACCAATTAATTGAAAACTTCACTTTCCCAGGAACCTTTGTTTCACTTTCTTTTCCAAGCTGCCAACTGCAGAGACCTAAGAGGGGCAAATTAAGCAGGCGGGCGTGTTCCCCTCCCCCGCGCCCCCCAAGCAAAGTTGGGGCTGGTGATAGAAGCAGCCCAGAGCAACTGGTTCTGGCTTCCAAGGGTTAGAGTAGGCTGCCCACAGCCCTGGGAGTGTGCCAGGAATCACAGCTCTGACCCCTCCTCATCCCTTTGTGCCAGTCCTCAGCCACTGAGCACCCTACATCATCTCAATCATTAAAAGTGAATCTTTTGGGGACTCTACGGTTCTACTTTAGGACAGCCGAATAGCTGAGGATTCTGGGGCGGGTGTAGGAGCCCTCCAAATGAGTCCATTTGAGTTCTTACTGTCAACTCCGCAGGCCAGCCCATCTCCAAGAAAATCACTCCCCTGAGCCTGTGATTGGTGAAGCCGGCTTGTTACCTAGACCCGCTGTTCCTGGACCCAAGACAGAACCTGGATGGGGCAGGATGTAAGAGCCCGGGCCTTTTACTAGGGCAGAGAGCCCTCCTGGGCCTGGCCTGGCACTGCAGGGTGGGCTGCTGGTGTTGAGAGTGTTGACACGCAAACCCCAGTAACCATAAAAGGCTCAAATAAAGGGGAAAGTTATGAGAGGGGTGCTGGAAAGGAAAAGCGGGAGAATTTGACCTTTTTGAAGTCCCTGACATGTTCTTGATCAAACTGAGACTGGAGGAGTCTAAGGACTTCCAGAAAATCCTAGGGAATAGGAATTTGCTGATGAAAACAATTTTGAGAGGATGCAAAAGCTAACAATAGAAGCTGCAAAGGCGTTAAAGAAAATGCCAGACAGGGTTAGGCGATAGTGACTGACTTTTTAGAAGTATATGGCTAGGTTCTCTTTACCCAACAAACCAATCATGAGATGCTACTCTGAAATGCTCTTACTTTCTCTTTTGTCTCCCTTTCTTTTTTCCTCAGAGAAGACAAAGGTACTCAGGATTTTTTTCTGTGACCTCAAAAAAATTTTTGTTGAAATATTTCTAAGACATAATTGGAACCAATGAACTTTCAGCCTCTTAAAACCAAAAAGCCCTGTGATTTTGTACTCTGAGACATCTGTGTGATTTTTCTATCTGATAAATACCCCTTAAAAACTAGTTATATGCTAAAGAATGAAGAAAGTGATATTACAATAGGAAGCAAGGACTTGTCAAGGTTTGCTGTTTTCAGACAACACTTCACTTTTGGCTGAATTACCTAGGCAGCAAGCTAAGCCTTGCAGGACTGGAAGGAAAGTCTGAATGGATGCCCTGGTTGAAAGACATTTCTCGATGGTGGCCCTGCCTTCCATTGCCCTCTGGGTCTCCTGCAGGACTTGGGGTTTCTCTGATTAATCTTGAGAATATTCAGAGACCAGGAAAACTGAACACTAAAGAACATCGCCTCTTGCTATCCTGCTACCGACCTTGCCTCCACTGTAGCCTTACATCCTAGGGGAGAGAATTCCCCATAGGGAAGTGTCTCTGCCTGGACCCTATAAGGGCCCCTACACCCAGCACCAGGGTCAGCTGCTGCTGCTGGATTATAGGGCTGGTGGCTGAGTACCAGACAAAGTCAGGGCTGATCTTTTTATGAACCAATAAGACACAGAGTTTTACAAGCAGGGGGTGGTAGTTAGGGAAGGAATTTTGAGGCTGAATTTGCAGAAACATTTCATGTAGCTTGTATACCCTATGTCCATGCGGATCTCAGGTTTAAAGTTAATAGGAATAATTTTCTCAAACTGGCCAGGAGTACAGACTGTGCGTGGGTGTATTAGATGGGGCTTTAACAACAGACATAAATAGACTTTGTTAAATGAAAATCTTTTGCGGCCATAAGTGTGTCCAAACACTGATGTGTTATTCAGGGAAGCCAGTGTTGCACCTTTCCTGATTTTGGTGAGAAACTTAGCGTAGCCCCTCATTGTCCTAAGTCCCACTCCACCAGGGAGAGAGAAAGTCAGATTAGCTCTGCCCTCTCCTCCAGTTTACTCCCCTTCCTTTTTTCCTTCCACAGCACCTCTTTTGGGAATCAGTCATGTTCTGAAAGGAGCATTCTCTTTTTCCTCCTTATAGATGATCTTTCAAACCATGTCCCTGTCATTGGGCTGGAGCAGGTAGGTGCAGGCTGGGAGTTAGATTTATTGAAGAACATAAGCTCCTCTGCTTGCCAAGACAGCAGTGAGCTATATCGATTAGCCACGTAATCTGTGACCATTAGCGCCAGGGCAACAATTACCAAGTCCTATCAGAGTGGGACACCCTCCTAATTAACTTGTAAGATGCCAAAAATTCAGCGTAGAAATAGAGTCTTCATTCCAAAGTGAAGTCTTAAATCCAGTGAGTGTGGCTGGACAGTGTTCTCAACCAAGTCTGTGCCCTGACAACTTTGGAACGAATCTTCCCTCTGCAGACAAGCCCCAGTTTCACTCAAGCTGGAAATATCCAAAGGAATTCAAACAACAGCAACAAACCAAAGGCGAAGAAAAGGGTCTCTAGCGAAAGCCAGACAGTGGAATCCTGCGCTGAGCACTTTTTAGATCTGAGAAGTATTCCATTTGTATTTAACAGCAGAATTAGAATTTATTTAATGTAAATTGTTTGCAACTAAGAAAACCCTCTCCAAACCCAAAGCGCATTTTGGGGAGACCAGGTTTGCCTCCCACAAGGCAGCTGGCCCTTGCTGGGCTGGAGAGAACCCCTGCGTTTCCTATGGGAATTAAACTCTGGGAGCATCTTCGCTCTCAGAGAAGCACTAATCTCCTTGAGGAGGAGGCGCCAGAGGGTGGGACCAGAATTGGGAACCTGGGTTTCTTTTGCTTTTTTTGGCAAAACAAAAGCTGGGATCACAACAGTTTTCTGCTGTTCTGTCCACATCTCAAGGTGTGAGATTGTCCTCGGAATACACTTGTCTAGCAATATTACTAACTGAAGTCCAGAAAGTGCAAACTCTGTCGGCCCTTTTGGATGACAGAGCATCTCTCTCTCTCTCCCTCTCTCCCTCTTTTTCTCCCTCTCTCTCTCTCCTCTTCCCTCCCCCCACCCCACCCCCATTCCGCTGTCTCTACCAGAAATGCAAGTGCGGTGTGGTCAGCGGTCAGCGACACCGCAATGGGATGAATGTTAGAGAAACGCCTAAGGACCAAGGGGCGCGGGGTGAGGTGGAGTTGGGGGGCGCAGGGAGGGAGGAGAAGGGGCAAGCAGTCTGGCTTAGCTTCCCTGACGGCGGCGCGCAGTTCCCCAGGCCTGGCGCTAGATGTCCCTGCAAGTTTTCCTGTCACGGCTCAGGGCGCACAAGTTTCAGACAGGCAGTGTGCCTACCGAGTTCATGGACAAAGTACTCCCCCATCCTCCACTCAGGTGAGGTGCGGGATTCTAGGGGGAAGAAGGAAGAAAATAGAAGCAGCTAGAAAGACCTAAGAGAGGCAAAAACTCAAGGCTGACTTGCAAAAAGTTGCCAGTAAGACAGGCCTGAATTCCCTAATCCAGCGTCTTTCCTCATAAACTGAAGCTTCCAAGAAACCTCCAAGCCGTGGGGACTCACTCAGCCTAAAGAAAATGTGCCCGGGGTTCGCAGCTCAGACTCTAACCAGACTGCTGTTCCATCGCATCCGGGGCCCAGCGAGCTTGCGGCCCAAAGCGGCCGCCGGGATTTTTGCCCCATGGTCCCAGACGTACCCTTGCCCTCTTCTCCTGCAGCACGGACACATTTTTGTTATCTTCAATCCATCCCAAGTGGAGAACCTGCCACTCCCCAAGAAACAAATATTTGGTCCAAAGGCCCACCCGTTCCCCAAATTAGGCCTCTTTCCTGTAACTCCTTCTTTTGAGCAAAAATTGCTTTTCAATCCATTTGGAGAAACCCTCACCCTCAATGCGCATGAAAAGTTCCGGTCAAACCGGAGGACACGGGGTGGATCCTTGCCTTGTTTTATTGAGTCCTGCACCTTGGTAGTGAGTAGAAGGCTTTGATAGCCCTGAAGTAATGTCTTTTAAAAGTAGGGACATTTGACAAAGCCCATTTCCAGTTCTAGCCAATCTTCTGGGAGAAGTGCAAGGAAGGTTTGGGCATTTCATTAATAAACACCAGCAGAACCGTGTCAATCTTCTCACTACCTGCCCTGCACACACAGGCTCAATGCTTTTCGATGTAGGCCTGAATTTAAAGAAGATAGGTGCAAAAGGAGAAGAGCCACCAAAAATGCTGCCCCAAGTTTTTAGACCTTATAACGTGGATATTATCCAAGGTAAGTCTACATCAGGAGCAAATCCTCTCTGTGTGGAAGGTTTCTCACCTCCGAGAAAGGGATAATCATACCGTCCATTTCTAGGTTGCTGTGAGGTGTGGAGGAGATAATGTATGTAAAAAGCACCTGTATTTCAGAGTAAAAGCTATATACAAGCTGACCACTATTGCTGTTACTTCTAAGTGTGGAATATAAATAAATGAAGGGACATTAAATACTGTAATGGAATCTTTGCTGCCTCCTATGAAACATTGTCTGCTAAACGCAGTTTAGTGAAAAATAAAAGGTGCCTTCTAGGGCGAGCAGTTTTCTTGACATGTACTTTTCATAACAGACATGCTAAAATGCAAAATGCTATGGTCTTCAGAACCCTAATGGAAGAAGGTGTGTCCGAGAAACGATGTTTCTCCTTTCCAGCAGACCGAGGTAGGTTTGGCGCAGACATTGGGACCAGAGGCGAGAGGTCCCTGAGGACGGGAGGCAGTGGGGGGCCTGCTGGCTGGGTGAAGGAAGAAGGGTCAGTGTAGCCGCCCCAGAACTCAGCGGCGGCTTCTGCTATTGAAAGCGGCTCCCAGCCGCCAAAACCTCGAGGAAAACAGATGGGGGCGCCAAACGACAGCAATAAAGGCGTCCACGATTTCCGCCCTGGTCGCGCCTCCGCCCGAAGCCCCCCCCCCCATCCCCCCTCGCATCTGCCCCCCGCCCCTCTCCGCGCAGGGCCTTGGTCTCCCGTCCCCACCACGAATCCGAGCCTGGACGAAGGTGTCCCATTTAGTCTCCAAAGCATGTGGGGCTGGGAGAGGGGTACCCTCTGCGTTTCCTGCTCAGCGACTCCCCCCTCCCTCCGCTGGGCAGGCCTGCCGGGGTGGCGGAGCCCGGCGCTCGGGCTGTGGAGCAGGGAGGGTGGCGGCATCCTGACTGCGCGCAGGGCCGGGGAGCCGGCTGGAGAGGGCTGGTGGTTTTCTGAGTCTGGTGGCCTCTGGGGCAGGGGCGGAGGTGCCTTAGAGCCAAGTCCTCTGAATACCCCAAGCCTTACTCCTCGCCCCCACCCCCCCTCCCCCCCCCAGCCACAGCGCCTATCCAGCCTTCCCTGTCTCACCTGGGGAGAACTCCGTTTATTTCCTTAAAGAGGTGTAATTGATTTTCTAAGCAAAGCTCGCGCCGTTGGAATAAGTTGGCGCCGAGGGGAAAAGGAGAGAAACTTTTGGCATTGACTAACGTATATAAATGTATATAAATATACTTCACACCTCGCCTCCCCTCACATTCCTCACGCGCCCCCAACGGGGCCAAGGTTAAAAGGAAAGCGCCAACGCAGAGATGGACACAAACAGATCCCGGGTTTGCCCCTCGCGCACCCCGATGTGCTGCTGGGTGTGGCGGCGGGGCGGGAGGGGGGGCCCGGGTTGGGGTATGGGCTGGTGCCGGGGCGGGGATGCGGGACCCGCGCCGGGCGCCCAGACCGCCAGGGTCTCCCGGCCGCTCCGGGAGCTCGCGGGCCGACCTCGGGGTCCCCTCCCCATCCCGCCTCATCCCCGCCCGCCCGGGGCCGCGGGTCTCTCTCCCTTCGGGCTGCGGACTGGCACCCTGTATTTGGCGTCTCCGGGCAGGGTGGAGCCGTGCAAGGGCCTTGAGTAAAGATCGATCTTCGTAAAAATGGTTGCCACCGGCGTCGTTATGGCCATCAGAGCTATCGCCCAGAGGCTCCGCCGCGGGGCCCCGGCGGTGAGGAGCAGCGGCGGCGAGGCTGGTCCCCGACTCTCCGCGCCGGGAGCCAGCGCGGGGAGCACCCGGGGCTGCAGGTAAGGGGCTGGGGTGGGGAAGGGAGGAGGGAGGAAAGGAGAGCTGAGTGGGAAAGAGAGGGCAGCGGGGTGGTAGGGGGGGAAATGCCCTCTTCTTGGCCCCGATTGACCTCGCGAAAACCCGGCAACTTAGCCACAAACGATTTGGTTTGAAGAGGGAAGGGGAGAGCTGGCGACGTAAAGAGTGGATGTGGGGCGGCCCATATGGCGCTGTAAATCGCGACTGCGTTTTAAGTTAGCTGTCGGATTCTGCTATGAAACCGTCCAGCAGAGTTCATTTCCCCCAGGGAAAACCCGCAGGCGAGAAGCCTATCCATCAGCGAGATTATAAAAGTAAAAAACCTGGGACTTCAAGTTCAGGACTCGCTCTGCACACCCGTGTTAAAAAATCAGAGAGGACCTAATGATTTCCGTTTGGAGGCGCGGGCCCAGCGCACCTCCCCAGCCACGTAGCACTAAACTGCTTTCAAAAGTCTACAACCTCTCTCTCCCTCTCTCTCTCTCTCTCTCTCTCTCTCTCTCTCTCTCTCTCTCTCTCTCTCTCCCCTGGGAAGGAGAAGAGCAGCCGGGCTGAGGTGAAGTGCGGGGGAGAGAGAAGTCGGCGGCGTCCTATTTGTTAAATAAAATAACGTATTTCGTTCCGAAATTCAAAAGATAAGTAATCCAGACAGGAGCGCAAGGTCTGCTCCTTACGCAACTCTTCCTCCATCCTCCCCCTCGTCCACCCCTCACCCCCTCCCAATTGTAAATGTTAAAAAAAAAAAAAAAAGCTTAGCTTCCCTACGACGACGATCTACTCTGGAAAAATTAGAGCATTATCTATTATTTAACACGTATCTGTGTCCGAGGAAAAATGAGGAAGGCGCTGCATGATTAGGACCTAAGGGGCAGCCCAGCAAACTGAGAGCGTAATGATGCCCCTAAATGAAGGGGGAAATGTGCCGCGGAGCGCTCTATTAATCAGACTGTCAATTTCACCCCCGAGGCCAAACCCCCGGGCGAGCAGAGCCGGCTCGGAACGGGCTCAGGACCGGAGCCTTCCTCCTCACTGCTTGTCTCCTCAAGCCTCCTACCTGGATCTATTTGTCTGCTCCGAAGCCGCCTTCATTACCCACTGACAGCAGCGTGTATTTATTTGCTTATAAACCTGTTACAATAAATGATTATTCGAACGGCGTCATTCGTACCTTAATGACGAGCGAGCGCTACTTTTTGATGAATGACATCTCGGGCTCGGAAGGATGTATGGGTCATTTTGACCAGTCATTCCCTCGCTCTGGCATTCCACAATTTTTTTCTCTGCCTCCCTCCAAAAGAGATAATAATATTTAGAGGCGCGCGCTGGGGCTGAATGAGAATTAGCCCTAGGCGCAGCCCATCATTAGGACACGGGACAGCCGGACCGCTGTGACATTTTTTTTTTTTTTTAGAAAGCTGAGATGATGGAAAGAATAAGAAAAGAGATGATTCTGATGGAGAGAGGGCTGCACAGCCCCACGGCCGCCGGCAAGAGGTTCTCCAATCTGTCCGACTCGGCTGGCAATGCTGTCCTCGAGGCCCTGGAAAATTCGCAGCACCCGGCTCGCCTCAGCCCGCGCCTGCCGTCCGCCCCCCTGCACAGCTCGCTGGGAGACCTCCCCGCCAAGGGCAAATTCGAAATAGACTCTCTGTTCAACCTGCAGCACCCGGGCGGCGAAAGCACCGTCTCCTCCGAAATCGCCTCGGCCGCGGAGGGCCGCAAAAAGCCGGGCCCCTATTCCGAGGCGGCCGGCGAGGACATGAGCAGCGACGTGGAGGTGGGCTGCTCCGCGCCGCTCAAGGAAAACAATGGCAAAGGTAACCACGCCGCGCTCTCCGCCCCGTCCTCCCCATCCTCCCCGTCCTCCCCATCCTCCCCGTCCTCCGGGGCTGCAGCCCGCCCTTCCCAGGGACTTTGCTCCTTTGCTACTACCCCCGCTGCAAGCTGCAGCCTGCCCGCTCCAGCAGGGGCGGGATGCCTGCGGGAGACCCTGCCCTCGGGCTCTGGTCCTTGAGTCTCTCCAAGAGGCACAGGCCCGAGGTTCCAGGCCCGCCTGACGGCCTGTCCTGGCTCCTGAGCCCGAGAAAAGGTTTCTGCGCCCGGTTCTAGAAGCCGGTGTGAGCCGACCGATCCCTAGCTAGCCAGCCACAGAATCGCGCTTAGGGGGAAAGCGCCCTGAGCAGCTGCTCTGGGCTCCTCTGCGGCTGAACTCCCAAGGCCCAGTGGAGGGGGCATCCTGAGTAAGTCGGGGGGTGCCTTTGGGAGCCCCGCTTGGGTCAGCGGGAGAAAAAGAGTTGAAAAGTAAGGTCCACCCCCTAATGGTTCCGGTTTGAGCGGCTGCTGGCTTTCAAGTCTTTAAAATTTTTAAACAAAAACCCGTCCAAGAAGGGTTAGAGGCCGTGCAGAAAGCTGCCCGGTGGTCTCCAGACCATGGCAAACCCAGAGCTGCCCAAACTGCGCCCAGAGGTGGGCATTTTCCCTTGGCCAATTTCCCCAGAGTTGAACATTCCCAATTATTATTATTAAAAAAAAACCACCCTACTTGAGTTCTTATTATTTGGTTATGAAGTGCTCCCCAAACTTTATTGATTCCATTAACGGCAGCAATTTGTAAGCGTGACAGACCCCATCAATTCAGGCAGCGCCTCGCCTTGCTCTCCCGGCTAGCTTCCCGCATCCGCGCGCAGCAGCCCCGGCGGCGAGCGGCTCTGGGCCCCCCCGTGACTCAGGCGCCGCCGGCCGTTCCTTTGCCAGGGTACGCCGAGGGCGGCTCCGCCGCGGGCACCACGGCGCCTTCGTCGGGCTCCGGCCTGGGCAGCCTGCATGGAGGCGGCGGCGGCGGCGGCGGGGGCGCGGCGCTGGGCGGCTCGGGCGCCGGTGCCGATCAGGTGCGGCGCTACCGCACGGCGTTCACCCGCGAGCAGATCGCGCGCCTGGAGAAGGAGTTCTACCGGGAGAACTACGTGTCGCGGCCCCGCCGGTGCGAGCTGGCCGCCGCGCTCAACCTGCCCGAAACCACCATCAAGGTACCGATTCCCGCGCGCGCCTGGGTCTGGCCTCCCGGGGAGGGGGTGGTGATCTGGGTTGATTTTTGTTTCTCCTTTCTGGGCGGCTAGATGGAGCTGGGCCTGAAAACCCGCGAGCGAGCGAGAGTCGCCAAAGGAATTGGCGTGTTTGTTTCCGAGCTGCCGAGTCTGATGGGGGTTGGTGGGCCCGGCCGGCCCGGGAAGGCCCTGGCATGGCGGAGCCGCAGCCGCACACGGTCGCCCCGGTCCAGCTGCCGGTGCCCGCGGCTCTGCTTCCCCCTCGGCGGCGGCGGCGGCGGAGCGGGCTGCTCTTTGTTCCTCTGGTGTGGACCAGCCGGGGAACTTTTCATTTGCTTTTGATCTCGGAGATTAATTTTCCACATAAATCGTTACAACACAGAGAAAAGGATGCTGTATTTTACAAACCGATGGGTTAAAAAAAAGTATGTTCTAAATATTTTTTTTCCGGGGCAACAGGAAAAGGACAACCCCCTGGAGAGACAACGCAATGAAATTGTCCTCATTTACACATTTTTAGGTGACTAGTTTTATTATAGGGCCCAGAGAGAGAGAGATAGACGGGAGGTTGGGCGACTTTGGTGGATACTTCACAGAGGATCCGACACTCTAGAAAAATGAAACGGGAAACTCCACGGGACAGGGGAGGGGTGTGGAGCTCTCCCTTCGGTTTCCTCGGACTTTCTCTTCTTTGGGGGATACCGTCCTCATTAGAAACCGGGTTGGGAGGGCGTAGAAAGATCCCCTTTCCCAGTTTAAGAGGAAGTTATTCCCACCATTCCTTTGAGGCAAACGCTCCCAACAAAATCACCCATTCAATATCAAAATCCAACCAGTGACAGGTCCTCGTAGCTCAGAGGACTCAGCACCTGGAGCGGCGACCTTTTACCAAAGCTGCTGCCGCCGCCTCTCTTCCAGTGCAAATGCTGGGGCTGAGAGCCAGTGCCAGGGAGCGGTGGGAAGGGTGCGTGGGGGCGAGAAAACGCCCCCAAAAGTAAGGGATTAGAAGCCCCCCTCGGGCTGCAGCAGCGGGGCCCAGAGCGGACGAGTCATTTTGCAGAGAAGGGTGTGCCCAGCGGCCCACACCGCCGCCCGGTCCGTCCCCGCGGGGAGGCCGGGCGCTGGGAGCTGGTTCCAGTCGGTCGGTCGGAGGAGAACCGGCCGGGTCCCTCGGAGGTCCCAGGGGGGCGGGGAGGCCCGGGGAGGTCCAGGGCCGGGGCGGGCGCGCTCCCTAACGCCGGCCGCCGCGCGGCTCTCCCCGCAGGTGTGGTTCCAGAACCGGCGCATGAAGGACAAGCGGCAGCGCCTGGCCATGTCGTGGCCGCACCCCGCCGACCCCAGCTTCTACACCTACATGATGACGCACGCGGCCGCCACCGGAAGCCTGCCCTACCCCTTCCACTCGCACGTGCCGCTGCACTACTACCCGCACGTGGGCGTCACGGCCGCCGCCGCCGCCGCCGCGGCCTCGGGAGCCGCGGCCGCCGCCTCGTCGCCCTTCGCCACCTCCATCCGCCCGCTGGACACCTTCCGCGCCCTCTCGCACCCCTACTCGCGGCCCGAGCTGCTGTGCAGCTTCCGCCACCCGGGCCTCTACCAGGCGCCCGCGGCCGCCGCGGGGCTCAACAGCGCGGCCTCGGCCGCCGCCGCCGCGGCCGCCGCGGCCGCCGCAGCTTCCTCGGCCGCGGCGGCGGGGGCGCCCCCCAGCGGCGGCTCCGCGCCCTGCTCGTGCCTCAGTTGCCACAGCAGCCAGTCCGCCGCGGCCGCCGCCGCCGCCGCCGCCGCGGCCCTGGGCTCCCGGGGGGCCGGCGGCGGGGCCGGCGGGGCCGGCGGGGCCGGCGCGGGGGCCGCGGGGGGCTCGGACTTCGGCTGCAGCGCCGCGGCGCCGCGCTCCGAGAGCGGCTTCCTGCCCTACTCGGCCGCGGTGCTCAGCAAGACGGCCGTGAGCCCGCCGGACCAGAGGGACGAGGCGCCGCTCACCAGATAACTACGCCGGGGCCGTGGCCGGAGTCCCCTCCACGCCCCCCGCGCCCTCGGGGCGCCCGCGTGCCCTGGGCGCGCTGCCCTCTGCGAACGCTGCCGGCAGGGGGCGCCCCGGCGCGGGAGGGAGGGAGGGAGGCTGGAGGCAACCTGCAGGAATTGGGGGGGAAAGAACGGGCGCGAAGCCCGGCGGGCGTCCCTCCCCCCCATCCCCCAAAATAATTATTTCTATTTTTGTATTTGCTGCCCAGCCGCCTCTCCTCCTCTAAGTCTGTTTCCCGCTGCCCAGGGCCTGCTTCCGTCTCTGTCCCGAGCTCTTGGTTTCCCCAAGATGATCCCCTCGTCCGAGGACCACCCCTCCGGGGTCTGGGCTCGCTGGGAGCCCGTAGGCCCGGGTTATGGGGCCGAACCACGTGGCCGGCGGCGACCGTGAACCACAACAAAGAGAGGGGAGTGGTGCGCGCGGGTGCTCCGTGCGGGAGGGAAAGTCACCCGCGAGGTCCCGCTGCTGCTCTTTCCCCCTCATCCTTTCTTTTCTTTACACGAGGGTGAGGGTCGGTGGCAGTTTTCCTCTCGGCCTGAGCTTGTGAGGGGCCCCGTCCCAGGAGAGCAGAGGGATGGGGGGGTCTGAGCAGAAGGCCGGGAGGCAAGGGGACAGCACTGAGGGCTGCGGGGAGGGGTGTGTTGTGCGGTTGCTTACTGCGTGCGGGACCCAGGCCAGCGGGGCTGTGGCCGCCTTCCCCAGGAAGGACAAAGCAGAGGTGGGAAGGGGTGGCCTCGCGCCTCCTCTCCCTCCTCGCTCTCTCTGGGCCCACCACCACTTTCTCTTTTTTGGTTCGGGATGGAGGCATCTTGAATATTTTATGCAAAAACTAACGGCTAATGAGGTGTCCACAGCCAGGCCAGGGAAGAAGAGGGGAATGAAGGGGAGGGCAAGATTGACAGATCTCTGGAGTATTCCAAGAAGAAGCGTTTTCAGCTCAGTTTTTCAGCTGCCGGGTTCCACTCCATCTGGGAAATACTTGAATCTCTAGATGTACGCTATTATCCCGAAGCATTTCCTTAGACCCTTTTCTGAGTTCAAACTCTCTCTCCCCCTCATTCCTTTCGTTCTTCGCTTTCTTACTCCTCGGGTAAAATGGTTCTTGGCATGTTTCTCACGCACTTCTATTGCGCCTGCCTTCGCCGCTGCAAAGCAAGCCGCCGCTCGCTCGCTGGGTTGTGGAGACCCACTCTGCCAACTCCGGCTACTGGAGGGGGGTTTCCTTGAACTTGAAGAAAGGCACATCAAAACCCACCAGTGTTAACTGCCACGTCAATTTTGATGCTAATAA